TAATCTTGAATGTTGCATCTATGCTGCTGGTCGTTGTTACTTTCATCATTGCTAGATCTTAGACTTCCGTGCATTTCACTTCCTGATATGCTACAAGTGGTATCGGAGCCATTGCAGTGAATCCTAGCAACAACCAATCAATCGATTGATTGATTGGATCGGCGGAATTCTGCCGATCAATCTTTGATTGGTTGATTAATCAAGCAGGAGATCGATCAAACATATCGATCAATCAACCAGCAATCATCTGTGATTGATTGATTGATTGATTGATTGGTTGATTGATTGATTGATTGATTAGTAATTAGTTGATTGATTATTTGGCAATTCTTATTTAATTTTGGGAAATTTATTTCTTTTTCTCCCGAAATTAATTAATTATTTTTTTCCGAGAAAATTTCCGAATTTTTTTTTTTCTTTCCAATTATTAAACTTTGTCTGCATTTCGACAAATTTCGCGATTTTTCGGAAACTGTCCCTCTACATTTTCACTGCGTAGGTTTGCAAATTCCGTTTTTTTTTTTCAAAAAAAAAAAAAAAAAACGGCATTTTTCTTTCGCAAACCACTTCTACTCTGAGTTTTTTTTGTTGAAGATTATTCTTTTTACCTCTGCAGTCCGAGCACCGAAGGTTAACGCTGGAGATCCGTGGGATCGGACAGTCTTTTTCGAGTTTTGATTTACTTTATTTATTTATTTATTTTTGATCAAAAATAATTATTTTTTGTTCCTTTGGTTAGGAGACTGTTCCACTTTGGATCTGTCCGATCTTTCCCACTTGTGTGCTGCCTGCCTACCTGTTCCTCCCCCTCCAGTCCGGGCACTGGGCCAGTCCATCTGATTGGCCCACGGGTGACTCTTCAGACTTCGGGTACGACCGTGCATGCCACTGCTCACTCGATCACAGACCAAGGCCATGGACCAGAAGGCGGGAGAATCCCTCCTGGCCTRTGAGGAACGCCTGGCTGCATTCATCCAGGAGGCCAACGATAGGGCCGCCGCCGCGGCCAAGGAACGTAACCGGATTGAGCAAGAAGAGGAGGCCAAGCGACAGCAGGAGGAACAGGACCGACTTCGTCAAGAGGAGGCAGACCTGCAGGCTGCAGCTGAACACCGGTCACGCCAGCAAGAACGACTGTTCACGTGGGAGACCGTGATCGGTGATGAGACCACACATTGGGTGGAAATGGCATCTGGGGATGAGGCCTCGGAGACGGACAAAGGGCTGTCCGCCGTTGCGCAGATCTCCCACGACCTCGTGGCCACCTGCGCCCTGCAGCAGGAGGAAATCCTTCACCTACAGCAGACAGTGGACCAGATGCTTGCACGGCTGCAGGCGTTGGAGAAACAGCCAGTTGCTGCAGCAGCCGCAGGGCCTTCCAACCTTGCCACCCGTGTTCAAGCTTTGGAGGATGATGTCAGCAACATCAAGCGTGTGCATCAGGACTTCTGGACGTCACAGCAAGCAACAAACTTGCAGTTGGAGACGCAGGTCTAGGCTGCTGCTACCGTGACGCCCGCGGCCGCATCCTCCCCACGCCCACCCAAACTAGATGACCTTCCAGTTTTCTGCGATCAGTCCAAGATGGACCCGATCCCGTGGTGGCGCCAGTTCACTCTCAGGCTCGACATGCACCATGTCCTGAACAACGATCGACATGCATGCTTGTACCACCGATCTGGTGGTGCATGTCAAGCATGGCTGGACAATATATTGACCAGCCACGGCGTAGCAGTGTCGGAACTGCACACCAAGCTCACTTGGCAGGAGCTGACTGACGCCTGACACAAGTGATTCCAAGTGGAGCCGCCCGACTTGCAGGCGATGGAGAAGTTAAACAAGCTCCATCAGAACTCACTCCTCAGTCAGGACTGGATTACCGAGTTCCAAAGACTCGCCTCCACACCCGACCTGCCGCTCTCATTCCACGGTTTCAAGCACTTGTTCATCATGCGCTCGTGTCCAGCACTGCAAAACGCACTGACGCAGATTGCAGAGACACTTGACACGTCGGACAAGCTTTTCAGCACAGCGTCACGGATCATTCTCACGAATGTAGAGGCCCGCAACGCCAGCCGATCTTCCGCGACGTCGAGCAGCAACCAGCCCAAGCCAAAGGTGGCTTGCATTGCGGCGACTTCGCCAACTTCTTCTACCGAGGCTGCAACACCAAACGAGGATGACGTGTTGGCAGCTGCCTGGCTGCGCAACAATCACGGTCGCGACAGGATGAAGGCTCAGTCCACCTCTTCACCGGGCACCGGATCAGCAGCCGACGAACCTTGGCTCCAATACGGACTCTCGGCGAACAGCTACCGCACGAGACTCAAGTACCGTTATTGTCTTTGGTGCAACAGCACCATCCACGATGTTGCACATTGCCCCACCAAGGGGAAACCCTGTTCGGGAAAGTAGGCGCCGCCGAGGGTGACTCGACACCTCCCTTGACGCCATCGGAAGCGGTTGTGCACACGACCGCCCTTTCTTCCGAGGCATATGCGGATGTCAGAAGTCTTCCACTTTTGTTCGAAAACTTCGCTGTCCGGCTCGTTCCTTCGCTGGACGCTTCTCAAGGACAAGATACCTGTGCGGCTTTCTCACCGTCCGAGGGTTCTTCCGTCAGTTCGTCTTCATCAAGGGATTCGGCAAGCGTGTTCAACGAGGAGGTTTTGGACCCACTCACGCCCGAGGATTTCACTTGGGTTCCTCTCCCTACGACGGGCAGCCTTCCGGGGCCGCTAAGCGCAGCACTATGCGCCCTCTTACACGAGTATCTCTCCTTCCATGCACCACCAACTTCGCCGACGGTAGACGAAGTCGCGGTGGGGGACATGCTTGGCTATGTTGCCAAGGTGGCCCGCGAGTTTGCCTGGCAACGGTACGAAGAAAACAACGCACCATTGCTGTACGTCCGCATTCAAATTGGGCAAGCGGCCTGCAACGCTTTGCTGGATTGCGGCGCAACTCGCAACTTCATCAGCCAGCCCTTCATGACTTGGGCTGGCCTTGGGGCACAAGTACGGAGGAAGTCACATCCGACGACGGTCGCTCTCCCCGACGGTAAGACGAAACAACTCTTAGACCGTTACATCTCGGTTGTCCCGGTGTATTTTGCACCGCACGCATGTGAACCCGTCACTTTTGACGTATTGGACACCGACTTCGATGTCATTTTGGGGATGCCTTGGCTTTCTAGCGCGGACCACACGGTCAACTTCCATCGACGCACGCTCACGATTCATGATACCGTTCGCGCGGAGGTCCCGTGTACCATTCCTCCTCCTCGCTCCTCCATTCGGTGCCAAGTCGTGAGTGCCAAATCTTTTCGAGACACGTGTCGTTTCGAGCACATTGAAGAGATTGGCATCGCGTTTCTTCGAACCGTCCCTACGACCGACTCATCGTGCATGGATTTGTCTTCCGACCCCCGTGTGACCCGGTTGTTAGACAAGTTCTCGGACGTGTTCGAGACTCCCTCCGATATAGTGCCGGACCGGCCGATCTCTCACGAGATCATACTTGAGGCCGGCGCCGTGCTACCTAAGGGATGCATTTATCGCATGTCCGAGGAGAGCTCGCGGTTCTCCGCGCGCAACTCGACGATTTACTTGACAAGGGTTGGATCCGCCCTAGCAGCTCACCTTACGGTGCGCCCGTTCTCTTCGTTCGGAAGAAGAACAAGGACCTTCGACTTTGTATTGACTATCGACGCCTCAACGTGCAAACCATCAAGAATGCGGGGCCTCTACCTCGCATTGACGATTTGCTTGAACGTCTGGGCGGTGCTAAGTATTTTTCAAAGTTAGACCTCTAGTCGGGCTATCATCTGATTTCCATCCGCCCGCAAGATCAGTACAAAACCGTGTTTAAGACGCGATATGGGCATTTTGAGTGGGTAGTTATGCCTTTTGGCCTCACCAATGCCCCGACCACCGAGTTTCGCGCTATGTTGGACCGATTTGTCTTGGTCTACTTAGACGACATCCTCGTCTATAGCCGAACTCTCGAGGAGCATCTCGAGCACCTTCGTCGTGTTCTAGAGACTCTTCGGTCAGCCCGGTACAAAGCCAACCGCGACAAATGCGAGTTTGTCCGGCAAGAGCTTGAATACTTGGGTCATCTTGTATCTCCGGAAGGCATTCGTCCGTTGGCGGACAAGATTCAAGCCATCCAGGAGTGGCCCGAGCCGAAGAATGTGACGGACGTCCGATCCTTCCTCGGCTTGGCCGGTTATTATCAGCGCTTCATCAAGGGTTACTCGAAGATCGTGGCCAACCTAAGCAAGTTACAAAGCGAGGAGTGACCTTTTGACTTCGACGACGATGCGCGTCATTCTTTTGAAATACTCAAAGCGGCACTATTATCCGTCGAGGTGTTACACATTTACGACCCACTCCTAGATACGCGCGTCACCACCGATGCATCTGGCTATGGCATTGGGGCCGTCCTTGAGCAGCACGATGGCACGGACTGGCACCCGGTCAAGTACTTCAGCGAGAAAGTGCCTCCCGTGCATTCGATCGACGATGCATGAAAGAAGGAGCTTCTTGCCTCCGTCCACGCCCTCAAGCGTTGGCGGCATTTCCTCCTTGGTTGGCAAGCATTCCGATGGGTAACGGATAACAATCCGTTGGAAGTCTACAAGTCACAAGACACGATTAATAGTACCATTGCCCGTTGGATGGCTTTCATCGACCAGTTTGACTTTTTCCCCGATCACATTCCCGGGAAGTCAAACCGTTTTGCGGACGCCCTCTCACGGYGACCGGATCTTTGCACCGCAGTCTACTCTACCTTCGAGATCGACGACGACTTGCGGGAGAGCTTCATCCGCGGCTATCAAGCCGACCCCCACTTTCGCGACAAATACGCGAATTGCTCCTTTTCGAATCCGGTGCCTTCGCATTATCGGATCCAAGAGGGCTACTTGCTTGTGTATTCAAGGGGAAAGGATCTTCTTTGTGTGCCAAGTGAATCACACTTGCGCACACGGCTTCTTGGTGAATTTCACGACGCACCCGCCTCCGGACATTTTGGTGTCAACCGTACACTTGGCCGACTTCGCCAGCGGTTCTATTGGCCCGACCTTCTCAAAGACGCCACCCGCTATTGTGAGTCGTACGAAGTTTGTCGGTGTTGCAAGTCACGCAACCATCGTCCGTTTGGCGAGCTACACCCACTACCAGTTCCCCTTGGGCGACGGGAAGCAATTCCCATGGATATCACCGGCCCCTTCCCAAAGCACAAGACCGGCGTTGATGGGATTCTTACGGTCGTTGACCGCCTCACCAAGTACGCCATGTTTTTGCCTTGTCGCTATCATGCGAAGACACCGGAGTTGGCCGAGACCTTATATGCCGGTTGGATTCGCTCCAAGGGCTACCCCAAGGAGATCGTTTGCGACCGGGACACTCGCTTTCTCTCCGACTTTTGGGTCGCCCTCGTCAAGCGATGCGACTCATCCTTGAAGCCGAGTTCGGCTCGCCACCCGCAAACCGATGGCCAAACGGAAAGGCCGCACCAAACCGCTCAAGTCCTTCTACGCACTCTCATCCGTCCCGACCAGATTGATTGGGTTGAGCGCTTGTCGGACGTGGAGTTGGCTTACAACTCATCTATCCACCCGGCTATCATAATGTCGCCGTTCGAGTTTGAGCACGGCTCGCCCATCTCATCGCCGCTGGACGCCATTTTGTCGTGCACAGCCGAGAGCGATGACCATCTTGCTTTCCTTCGTCGCATGCAAGAGCTCCTTGCCAAGGCACGGGATCAGATGTCGAAGACGCAAATACGGATGAGCCGTCAAGCCAACCGCAATCGTCTCCCTTGCCCATTCCGCGCCGGCGACCTGGTTTGGGTCTCCGCCGCAGAGTTCAGCCTTGAGCAAGACATCTCTCGCAAGCTCCTTCCCAAGTGGATGGGGCCTTCGCGTATTCATTCTGCAGTTGGTGATGATCCCGAGGGGCCTTCATTTCGCATCGAAGTGCCACCTGACTTGCTCGTCCACCCGGTGTTCCACTGTTCCAAACTCGCTCCTTTTGCTTCCGCGGAGTCCGACGAGTTCCCCGGTCGACGTACGCAAGACCCTCCYTCCATGGACGGATTTCAGGAGGCCGGCTATATCATCAACCATCGGCGCCATGGCAACAAGGARACGGAGTTTCTACTTCACTTTTCTTACTGCAGCCACAAGGCTGACCGTTGGCTGACGCATTCGGAACTGCAGGCCACAGCCCCCGCCGTTCTCTCACGTTATCTAAGCAAGGAGAAGACTACACTGAGCACTCCAGCTCCTCGCCATCCTCGCTACATTCCGCCATCGGATCGGCAGCTTCGCCCTCGCCCCAACTCGTCGTCATAAGGAGGGGGGCGTGTTACATGCTGAGAGCCTACACACGGGCCCCTCACGGGACCCAAGGTTGGAATAAGGGCCCCCGGGTCGCGTCACAGCAACCTGAAGGCCCTACGAGATTTTTCATGGCTACGATCCAGACGTCCGGACCGCCGTCTGGACGGTCTGGATTCAGTCCGGAATCCAGACGTCCGGTCTGGAAGGTCCGGATCTGGCAAATTTCGAAAAAAAAAAAAAAAAAAAAAACGGTCCAGGACCCTTCCCCATTGAGGAGCCAAGCCCCCAAAATTGTTTTGGGGGTTTTTCAGGCCCGTTTATGGTTTTCTTGGGGGTCCGGACATGCTCTCTCTCTACAGTGATTTATTAGACAACCCCAATTTTTTAATTATTAATAATTCATTACCTTTTATTAGTCTTTAAAGTCTTTTTTTAAGCTTTTTATCGTTTTTGACTTTTAACTCAAGTTGCTTAGGAATTCTGACATGACTCTGAGGCAAAAGTGGTTTGCATAGTTATTCTGCATAACATACTTTTTTTTCAGATTCTTTTATTTTTATTTTTTTTAATGGTCCAGACATTTCCGGACCTGTCCAGACTTCCGGACCGTCCGGATCCCCCCATGTCCGGAGGTCTGGAAATGTCCGGGATTCCGGACGTCCGGAAATTACCGGACACAGGTCCGGTTCCATGTCCGGAAATGTCCGGGTCCGGGTCCGGCGTAGCCATGACATTTTTACTTGGGCCTGCATCTGAAAAACGCCAGCTTTAGTTTATTTTTATTTTTTTATTTATTGCTGCTGTTTTTCTAACGTGTGTGCTGTTGTCCGTTTTGCCCAGGTACGGCCAGGCCACTTGGACCAAGAGGCAGGGCCTCCCAGGGAAACGTTTCAGGGCCAGATTCAGACCCAGAGGCTGAGCCTCTAAAAACGTTTGGACCTTTTTTGTTTCCGAACAGACTTTGGACCTGTTCGGACCTGGGCCGACGTTTAGGCCTGATGCATTCGCACAGGACCTGTTTCGGACCAGGTACCGAACAGGCCCAGTCCTGGACAGGGCCTGGACGTCCGRTAGGGACCCAGGCAGGCCGTCTTTTAGGCCAAGGACTGRACCACATTTCGGGCCWGCGATCTGAACCGTGGATCGGAGGTTCRATCTGCACGGTCCAGGTCGAAGGCCGTGGACACTCTGGTCCGGCCCWGYACTATATAAGCTGGGCCAGCTCCCAGTTCTGGACAGGGGAACGGAGAGGAAACCCAGCGTTACGCTGGTTCAAGGATTCACCTGCTGCGCTATTTCGAGACTGCCTGCTGTGCTATTTTTCGGCATTGCAGCGCTGGAGGAGTCCAGCGCTAGAGGAGGTTAGCGGAGTTAGGACAGAAAGAGAGAGAGAGAGAGAGAAGGAGAACTTACCTGCCGCGACTTACCAGCGCCATAGCTGGGCTCCCCGCGGTACCTGCAGTCAGCACCCAGGTAAACAAGGTCAGCAAGCGCCTAGCTTTCTTCTTCTCTCCTCTTCTTCTCCTACTCCTCCAGACCTTCTTCTTCTTCTTCTTCTTCTTCTTCTTCTTCTTCTTCTTCTTCTTCTTCTTCTTCTTCTTCTTCTTCATCATCAGAGTAGAGATAGAGGTAACTGCAGACATTGTTCTGGACACSSCGTGCTGCCATAGTGGACACGACATTCGGATCGGACTTGAACTCGACATTGGGATTGGACTGTGTACGRCATTTGGGGAGCAGATTGGGATCAGACTTGGTTACATCCTCTGTCTCGCTTTTCCCTCCAACCTTGTCTATGGTTCCCTCCCCATGTGTGTGAGCGGAAGAGCCATCTTTCTGATGTGCGGCTCTTCCGAAGTTCTCCTCTTGTGTGTTGTCCCACCTTGTTTCCTATGATGATTTGAGTCTTCCGCTGCGCTGTTTTCCCAGCCTATGATGTTGATGATGTGAATACATTGTTGTTGGTTTCCCGTTAGTTCATTCTTTGCATTGTGCACATTATCATAATCTTGAATGTTGCATCTATGCTGCTGGTCGTTGTTACTTTCATCATTGCTAGATCTTAGACTTCCGTGCATTTCACTTCCTGATATGCTACAGATGATGATGATGAGACTTTACCAGCATTGTCAATTATGAGCTCTTGGTGTCTTCTTATTTGGTGAAACTCGTGATGCAATTCTGCTGTTGTGTCGAGGTCACGACTATCTGGTCTTGTGTATATGATGCTGTTTAATTGCTGAAGTTCGCTATTGTTCATCTTCCTTGCACAAGTTTGTAACTTTGTGAATCTTTCCTTTGTGCTGCGCCTGATCGAGTTGCATCCAGCTGGGTCATTGCAGGAGTGCGGAAACGACAAAAAAAGAAACAGTTATTTTTGCTATGTTTGCTTATTCCAAACTGCTGTGGTGACAAAACTGCATTTAGTGTTTTTTTTGCCTATCGGAAACTCAAACAATGACTCAGACATAATTGTTTTACAAAGGAAAAACAGATAAACAGTTTTCTGAGCCATGGTGATTCTAATCTAGCACGGGTCCATGCTGGCCCAAACGTTTGGTCTGGGTCTGCCGCTGCTGGCTGTGCCGAATAAACATGAGCCTACTCATGAAATTGGCCAGGTCCATGCGTACGTCAGCATGACCCTGGTCATGAAACAGGCCAGGTCTGTGCTAGAATGACAGGAACATGTAACCAGTGGTGCCTCGCTGTTTGGACATCTCTTATGGGTTCTGAATGGATGACTTGTCCACTAGTCGTTTGTGGATATGGCATCTGAAATTGCATGATAGCCAGGTGACATCCTTAGCACAGCACACGGAGAGAGAGAGAGAGAGAGAGAGAGAGAGAGAGAGAGAGAGAGAGAGAGAGAGAGAGAGAGAGAGAGAGAGAGAGAGGTAAGCAGCAATTTTGTCATCCTTTCTAAGTTGGTGCAAGTTAGCACGAACCCGATCATTTTTATGACTAGGTTCATGCTTACAAGGTATGAATATAGCACAAGTGGGGTTTGCCACTGACAGAGGTTGTCTGGTTTTGGCTAGCCTAGCACATCCATAGTCCAGTGGGGGGTCGGTATTTCTGTGATGCTCTGCATCAACACCAGAGGCATCACCACCAACCCGTCACTTTCCATGTGTCTGGACATCGAACACGACTCTTCAAGGGCCACGAAAGAAGCTAGGTGGCTGTGAAAAAGATGCATGTTCTAGTCCTTCCTCCCTTGCCCCACCCAACATCTCCTCGCTACAGAATCATGTGCTCTCGATGTGTTTACCTCATCACTGGGTTTGCAATGGCTACGCTTTTCATGTTGGTGAAGAGGGAGAAAGGTTCCCACCACCTCCACTTTTCCTCCAGCAAGGCAAAGGTGCTACCCCACTTGGTCGGCTATTGCAACCATCATTCATTCTTCTAGCCACTGAGGTTGTGCAAGGACTCTTGTGTACGAACTGACTGAAGTCACAATTGCATTCAGTTACCAAAAGTTCTGGTGTAAGAATGCTCCTACTTGTGCACTGATGTTTCTCCTTCTTCAACCACTGATGTCATGCTCACAAATAGTGTCAAAGTGGATGAATGTGACCCTGAAGGCAATCAGGTGCTTGTCCAATGTCCAGTAGTTGGAATGCTGTGATGATGTAGTATATGTACTGCACAGATTGTTGGAAAGCTCTTTTTTGCTGGCTTTGGAAGTTTGGAGACTTCCCTGTACACGGATAGCAGATATTTCTGCATTTTTGCCTTGAGAAGTTTTAGTACTAATTAAAAAAAAAGAAAAAAAAAAGTGCTATTGAAGGGTAAATCAAGTAAGGTTGCTTTGTATTGGCACATTTTTCTGATTTTTGTAAACTTCACTCCGATACCTCACTCTATCTACCTACCTACCTCACTCTACCTACCTACCTACATATGTCCATCTGAGGGTTATGGGTTGAGTTCCCAGCCATCCCAGCCTATTCTGCTCTATGCGGGGAGCAGTACCCCAGCTCCTAACACCTGTCATGAGCTGGAAAGTCCTTCATTCTTCCACAACCACCCAGGAGGCCCAAGCCAATTATCTCAACTGGTGAACCCGAAGCGTATCGCAGGGGGTCGTGGGGGATCGAATGGACGACGTGGGGAATCGAACCCGCGACCTACAGAATATCACTTACGTGCTCAACCAACTGAGCTAGCCTGCTTGGGTCGTCTTTCTGGTTTCTTGATTCCGCGCTGTCTCTAAAATTTTGGAACTTTTAACTGTTTGCTCGCTGGATAATCCGTGAGAGAGAGGAAAAGAGGAACCATAGATTTCCCTGCCCCCAGAAGAGACTGCGCTGTGAGGAGCGGCCTGCCTGATGAGTGCCCCTTTGGAAGGTGTCTAGTGCCCCAAGGGCAGAGCCTTTCTCGTTCTCTTTACAACCACAAACTTTGTTCATGCTTGCCGGTGATAAGCAACCGGACTGTCGCCCCCCAAAATCGAAGGGGCTTGAAAATTGTGGGGAATAGAAGAAGAAGAAGAAGAAGATTTCCCTGACACCACTTCTCCATCCCTTAATTCTTGCCTCACATCAAATACACTTAAGTTCTAGCGTCCAGTGCATATTTCTCTCCTCCAACTGGTTTGCAGGTGCATGTGAGATGCGTGGAGATGGTCTAAGTCCCCTTCTCTGCAGGCTGTGCGTGCAGCACGCACAAAGAAACTCACTATCCCCTACCTGCTTTCCGAGTGCTGTCTCCCACTTCCCCATCTTAGTGTATCTTAATGTACTCGTGTTCCCCCTTACCCGGTGACCCCTCTCATCCCTTCTCCGATCTTGAAAACCCCTGGTTGTGAGCCCTTACCCTCTCATCTTTGGTCATACCAGTAGGCTGGTGGCAGTTTTTGTGGTGATTGAACTCACAAACAGGCCCAATGTGCTGAGCTCATCAAGCAGGGAGTCGAGATCACCGCTACAAACACGTAACCTTGACCAACCCATCAAGGTGGTGGCTCAAGCATGGTGACAAAGTGGCATGTGCTGTTGATGCACGGTGCAGTAGACATCTCGTCCAGGAAGTAGCATGATGGCGTTTCAGTATGGGGCTATGAGAGCGCGAGAACTGAGACTTCAG